CTATTGATAGGTTTCAATGGTACGCTTCCATTCTTGTAAACTATTAGAGAACATATACTAGCTTGGTCAGTTTTAGCTCCCGGCGCGCAACAGTTCGTCTTCCTCCTTTCTACTCGAGCTGGTGGCCTCGGTATTAATCTTGCAACAGCTGATACTGTAATTATTTATGACTCAGATTGGAACCCCCATAATGATATTCAGGTATATGTTGTTCTGCTGAAACCATAATGTCCTTCCAATCAATATCTGCGCATGAACTCACTCCAGGCATTTTCTCGAGCTCATCGAATTGGACAACAGAACAAAGTGATGATTTACCGTTTCGTAACTAGAAATTCCGTGGAAGAACGAATCACTTCGGTTGCGAAAAAGAAGATGTTGCTCACTCATTTGGTAGTACGAGCCGGTCTTGGCCAAAAGGGGCCTAGTATGAGTAAATCAGAATTGGATGATGTGCTGAGGTGAGTAGTTTTCATTTCTGACAATTTTCAACAAAGTTATTGCGATGTATCATGCGGTGGAGAATCATCCTTCGAACTTCTTGACATAACTCCTCCTGCTTAAAGGCAGGTTGGCACGATAAATCCCCCAAGACGAGTAGGATTAATGCGCCTGGCAGGACGGAATGCCGGCCAGCCCCTGAGCAGGCGCTGGCATAATGGCCTTGTAGGTGCTGCTTATAAGGCGCCTATCAGGCCACAACGTACCGACCGCGAACGCTCCGCATGGCCCGCCCGCTCAACAAATGGATCGTCCGTAGACGCTCTAATAGCATTCATTTGCTAAGCCAAATTAATGGAAGAGATGTTTTATAAAAGTTTAGCCGTGATGCTGCATGGATATATGAGTACACATATGCAGCCGTACCTTCGGTAGCGGTGATTGGCAAGATGCCTACAGGAAACTCGTCCAAAATTGATTTCTAACACAAATTTTTTGAGAATGGGGCTCCATCATTCGCAGGATTTTGACCGTTTCACTCCGTTCTTTCGCCATTTCCCCGCTATATAGCGCCCTACTAGCATTTTAGGCCGAGCACCAAATCATCGTGCCAACTGCCTTTAAAGGATACGCTATTCATTCATCCTCGAGCATTCTGACCTTTGCAATACGACAGATGAATGAGTCCGCAGCTGAAGAAGTGTGTCAGTTTCTTTACTGGAGAGCGCGACGAAGTGAGGCTCCATTGAGTGGTAGCCGGATGCCGTTTCGGACTTCACCCGAAGGCAGAAGACGCAACGCGCCGCACCACCAGGCGGGCCTCCAACTGCGGCCGAGCGCGCTATTTTTCTGTGCGCCCTCTCAGCGAAGTGTTTTTGCTCTACAGAATCAGCGAGTAGGCAGCTTGGCGTTGATGTAGCTGCGGGACGTCATCAATCGACGCGTATTGTTCTGGCACGGTTGTGAAATACGGGTCGTGTCAGAACAACGGCATCCAGCTAATTCAGAACCGCTAGCTTCATTTCTCGTACTTCCGGCTGATGAAAGTGGCTTACTTCGTAGCTACGCGCTTGTCCACCTCCCACATAGAAAATATCTGTATTGACGTGAGCTCATAGCAGATCGTTGGGGCACGCCCCTTACAGAGGAAATGCCGCACACGACAGACACGCTCAGCTTACCTGAGATATTGAGCTTCATCAATTTTTTTTCTACTCCTACGCTATCAAAATCCTTGTCAATTGTCTCATTGAAATTTTTCGTAGCATGCCGCCGCCGGTTAGGGTATGTTTGTCATCGAAGGGGGAAGCTTCCATTCATTTTATCAGTGTAGCTATTGCTCGAATGTTTTTTTTGCGCTTATGCCTCTGTCCTCTTGGTGCATTCACCCGCCGTGGGTGCGGTTTAGCTCGGTCTATGCCAGGCTATTGGCTGTATGATCTTTTGTTTGCCGTAAATTTAGAGCTGAAATATTACAGATGGGGTACGGAAGAATTGTTCAAAGATGATGAACCACCACAAGGAGAGCCAACTGAAGGCGAACCTGGGAAGAAAGCGAACGAGAATGAAATCGTTTGGGATGATGCTGCTGTTGAAGCTCTACTAGACAGAGACAGAGACACCGATCCAAAGGCATGCTTACAGGATACACTTTTGATTTTTTTTGCCCTGTTGATGTTCCTCTATTAGACATTCAGTCAATGGAGAGGGGACTTGGCGTATCATGTAATAGTGATCTTACTGTGTCAAAGGCAGTGGGCCGCAATGCTAGAGGCGGGCGGTATTCGCCAGCGTTTTTGGTGGAGAGGGCGTTTACTCCGTCCTTCCACCAACGATTAGCCGCAACCGCCCGCCCCTAGCCATCGTATGCCTTTGAGTAATGGTAGGTTTTGAGGACAAAGATGGCGAGAAAAAGGAGCATTGGACCAACGAATACCTCAGTTCATTCAAAGTGGCGACGTATACCACGAGGGAAACTGACGACAAAGAAGAAGAGGAAGAGGAAGAAATGGAGGTAAGAGCAACAGTACTATAGATTTACCGGCTGTCAATAACTTTTGATACATAATGGAGAAGGCCTCATTCATATTCAAGGTTATCAAGGACAACGATAAGGAGCCTGATCCCGACTATTGGGAGAAGCTTCTTCGACACCATTATGAGCAAGACCAAGAGATGGAAGCTCAGAAACTCGGCAAAGGCAAGAGGCTGCGCAAGCAGGTCAACTATGCAAGCGAAAACATGGGTCAGGATTGGCAGAAATCGCGCTGGAGAGGTTGTTTTCGATATAAATTTCCTCTGCTGCACTACACTATATGTTGCCTTTTAGCAGCAAAACAACGATGACGATGACCTCTCTTCGTATGACGGTGGTTCCGAGAAGGCGTCAGGTGAACACTCTGACGATGACTTCGAAGGC